GCCGTTTTAGTTTTATTTACATATGTGCATACATATGTATGTATGTTTACATATATAGTGTTTTAGTTTTTGCAACGCTTAGCGCAGAATTATATGCATTCGCTCGTACGCTCATTCGCTTATCAATGCACTTCACTGACATTGGATTAATAAGCGCAAGCATTTGTTGAAATATCCGGGCTATTTTTAGCAACTGTGATTGTAGCCAGTTAGCTTTTTAAACTTTCATTTACATACTTTCTACAAATCAGAGTCATTTATATCAAAGCTTAATAAATAATTATTGACTATTTTATAAAAATCAGAGAAAAAACGGTGTCTTTAAATGAGAAGTGCCGTAGTCAGCGATCGAACCCTAGTATTACGTGTTCCAAAGTGAATAGACAAAAACTAGACAATTGCCTTGAAAGATAAGTATTTGCATTCTAACACACACATACTACTTATGTATGAGTTTCTTAGGCTTTTACCGACTTATTCGGTCTTCGCGAAATTTTGAGTCAAATGGGCCCCTGCAGCTTCTCATTTACTCATCTCGTGACAACATATGTAAGGTATATAAATTCCTAAAGGATTTGGATCTTCTACGTCGCATCTAATTAGCAAGTCCTCACCAGTCAGCCGAAAGCCTCCGTCGCTAGCGCAGCGTTGTTTAATTTGTTTGATACCCTCTGTTATAAGCTTCAAATAAATAAAATAAATGCTCTGTCTTCTTCCTCTTTTTTGGCTTTGTAACCACCCGCACGTCAGTCGTTCTTCATCTTACACGGATTGAAAATTCCAAATAAGCCAAACTCTTCTTTACCTGACCTTTCCATCGCATGGGAATCCTTTCTTCTTCCTCTGCTACTACTTGCGGGTACCAAGTTGAATACTTGCAGGGCTGCATGGCTATGTCCATTCGTCATCCTCATTGGAACTTTGTTAGCGCAATACCAGAACCTTGAATTTTAGTCTGAAGGCTCGCTAAAATCAACTGCGTCCGTTCACAGCTTTCTGAAACCCATGCGCTTTGGAACACGATGCGTACTTTGACACTTGAATGAAAATTTTGTCCAACTGTAGGAAACTTCAGCCTTGTGGACAACATCTCCAACAATGGAGAAAGGCTTATCGACTTTGTACCGTTATGGAGTTAGTACTTAGTACCAGATACCAGCATCGAAAATATCCCCAAAGCCACATCAATCCCCAATAAGATTACGTTTTGAACGACGAAAGAAACGGAAATGAATCCACACCGGCTCAGATTAGTTCTCTGCAGCTAAGGTACGCATGAGACTCTTCGTAATGTGCAGTGTCCGACAAGCAGCGCTACGAAACCTTAACGTCGAAACCCTGCTATCACAAGAAGCAGGCGATATTCTATGGACTCGACCCTATTATCTACTCAAACAACCATCACTGCCTAGATAGTAATGAGTAGTGGAATTCCATATCCCATTCTCCAATAGAAGAAAAACGTATGGCGACAAGTACTATTTCCCTGCTGCAGAATAAAAGAGAAGCAACCAGCCATTAGTGCAAAGAGCTAGAGATGCTAGTAGATAGAATCAGACGTCCGAGGTACACTTGAGATATGGTGGGAACACTGAGATGAACTCAGACCAATGTATGTATATATATGCACGAAGCTCACCTCCCTCCACTAGATCAAGACAAAGTTAGAACAGCCATAATGCGGCTTTGAAAAAAACAACGTTGGAAACTAAACAAATCTACGGTCACTGGAGTCTCGCGTAGCATTTTACTTAATTTAATCCATCTATGAGCAGCATTCAACCTTGTTACATTGCAACTGGCTTTATAACTAACGTAAAGATCGGTGGGAAGAAGACTTAGTAGAGTAAAGGGTTGGGCACCTATTATTCACATGAAGGAGCCCTCTTAACCCAATCCAGTTGACTACTATAAGTTGACTTTTCGAAAGCCGGAAGCCATGCAGCCCCCCCAAAAAAAATATGGGTCGCTCTGTAAGGTTCCGATTCCAATTTAACTTCCTGTCGAGAATTGTACCGGGAGGAGTACCTACCGTTGCATACCTAGTAATGGATGCACCTCCAATCTTCGAGGATATATTTCTTCTGATATGAGTTCCACCGGAGGCTTTTGCTGTCTCTCTTATATAAGTGACCTTTATGGGCTTATGCCGACAGAAAAAAGTTATATTTGAAGAAAGTACTAAAAACTTGAAGAGCGCCGAACTCCTGAAAGCCTGGTGTGGAGTTCAAAAATAAGTATGACCCAGAAATAAGGTCTAATTGCGTCAACGAGAAACGACTGGCGTGCTGTTTTGGACTTGGCCAAAGTCGCTTAGGCGGTTACAGCGCCAATAAAGAAGAAGAAGAACTTACAAATAAACACAATTTGTTTAATTTTTTTAATTGCTAAACATTTATTTATTACTTTTTAAAAACATTATGTAATGAAAAGTAATTTATAAATACTTTACTGTTGCATAATTACAATTTTTATTACAAATACTATGAAATAAAATAGGTTTGGATTTTTTTAATTATAATTTTTTTTCTTAACATCCACACATACATACATATGTAAATTAAAAGAAAGAAAATGTTTGTTGCGTACCAAATCTTCGTTTTTTTTTGCACTTGCTCTTCATTGTATGTATTTTCGTTCGTTAGAAATTTTAAGAAAATTTCGTAAAATGCCCTCTTATTAGCTCTCTTTCTCCCTCAGTCCACACCTGCCCATCAGATATCTTAGATAGATACATACGTACATATTTAATTGTAAATAGTTTTACTTTGTTGCAGACTTTCAAATTACAGATTTATTACAGTTTCTTAGAATATGTTTCTTGTTATACTAATACCTAGTATTAGTTAAATAGCTTAATCAATAAATGTGTCGGATTGGGAGAATACTCGTACATATACACATGTACATATTCCTAACATTTTCTTAGCAAAGTGGATCTATCGAAAAAGAATAAATTGACAAAAAAAATGCATCTCAATCACCAACCGCAAATCACCGCCACTCCTCTTTTCTCGTTAACATCGTTCCTTTTCGAACAATTAGTGAGCGTGGTTTTCAGTTCGATTCTGGTGATTTACAATAACAACGGTGTAGTTCACGGTAAGATTTAGAGCCTAAAAATTCAGAGGTTCAAGAACCTGGTTAGTTCAAAACCGGTTGGACTTGGGTTGGGTTGTTGATGTTACTGAGCCGCTACTAAAGTCCGACTAAATCGGCGACTCTATAAATCGTTGTCGTCAACTAGCGGTAGGCCCAGAAGCTAAACGGGTTTAAGGAGTAAAGTGAATAGGTGATTGGTGTCGTGTGTTGGGTTGTCGCGGTCAATTCTGGATAAGTAGGAGCTAACTCTGCTACAGTATCCCAGACCTTTGTCGCGCAAAAGTCACGCGGCTATATCGAAGCTGCTGAAGCTCTTCGTCTGCGATGGATGGTGCTTGAAGTGTCGTTGTTGGCTCGTTGTTATTGTTGTTGTAGCGGCACTACTAAGCTGGCTTGTTGTTGTAGCGGCTACTAAACCCTGCTCTCGACTTTCCTTCCATTCAGTCGTATTGTTGTTGTAGCAGCATACAAATTCCCAAAAGACTTTTTGGGGAGTGTTGCTAGAGTGAAAGTCATTGGTCAGTCGTATTGTCTTATATTGTTGTTGTTTTACCGGCACTACTAGGCCCCGCCTACATCGACTAGTCTATCGATCGTTATCGTTAAGCTCAACTAACGGTAGGCCCAGGAAACGCGCAGTTTCGAAGAGGTCGGACCAATGCAAGGTGCTGTTACCTGAGTACATTTGAGAGGGCAGGTAAAGAGATGGTTGGTATCGTGGTGGGAGTCTTCACAAACCAACCATATGCGTGTCTGCTATGTCGAGGTCGAGTCCGATTAGGAATGAGTTCAATTTACTGCAGTATCCGCACTTTAATTGTGTATCCACACAGTAATTGTGCCAGTATTACGCGGAAGCTTATTTGAATTCAATTACGACATTCATGGGAAGAGAGTCTGCAAAGGTGGCAATAGACTCTCTATAGGTGTTATGCCTTTGGTATCTTTGGGTATTCTTGGGTTCATACGGTCGTCTTCCATGGACATTATTGCCGTTGATAGTAGGCGACCAGTATTTTTGATATTGAGATTGAGCTGGTTTGTCAGTTGTGATGTGTTTAAGAGCCTGGCTGTGCAGGTCCAGTTGGAAAAGGAAGGGAAATGGAAATCGGGATGGGAGAGGAGAGGAGAGGAAAGGATTAAGGATATTGACGTCGGTGCAATAACCTCGCATGGAGAACCTGATTGGCTTGTATCACACTAACCCAGCCAGACTGATTCAGTGGTATCTAGCTACAAAAACGTTATGAAGTACATAAAAACGAGTTTGGCTGTTTCGAAGGCATTGCTAAGTAAGAAATTTTTATGACGTCAAAATACTCTTAAAATAAGCTTTCAAAATTGGGAGGATGTCGGTATTTCTAAACTTTTTTCTATAGTATGAGGACCGACCCGACATAATGTTCGCTTACGTAATTTCTAATTTTACTTAAATTTGTTTTATTTTATTTTTCATAACTTTATTTCGTTTCATTTCTTGTTTATAATTAATTTGAGGTTCATTGTCTTATTGTTAAGTTTGTTAAGAGATTTTAAAGGCGCGCTTCTGTTAAGTGTTAACATAAATAAGATATAATTAAACAATTTTCAAATCTAGTTGTAACATAATAGCAGTACCGAAATACTTTTACAAATACAATACATATTTTCATCCACCTCTCCTCATCTATGCAGCTTACACTCAATAATCGCTGACATTGATAACTTTCAGTTCACTTTACTCTATATTTTCTTTATGATTTTTTTTTTCATATTTACAAATTTTAAGAGCTACATAAGCATAATGCAATTTTTGTATTGAAATACATATGTATGCATACGAGAAATTATAAGTGAAGACGATTTTATTATTTTGTTGTTTTATTTAACTTACAAATTGCAAAACATAGATATATATAAACATAAATCGTAATAATTAAAGGGTCAATAATGCTCTATTAGGAAATTTTGAAAAAAGTCTTAACGAAAACAAAGAAAAGAACATTTAGATCTTAAACAAGAAGCAGCAAACAGTGATAGCAAATAGAGCTTATACTGCATATATTAACTGCAAGCATAAACAAATTTTTTTTGAGCGAAGAGACCATGCAAAGCTAAGCCATATTATTTTAAATTTTTAACAATATTCAAATAAATGTACGCTTTGAATATCCCACGTCTGCAAAAGACAAAAAAAAAACCTAGTGTGAGCTTCTTGTAAAAAGAAGGATAGAATTTGTGCCAACTACGAAATACAAAAAGCAAATATTAACATTTAATAGGCAAATATTTACGCTTAAGCAAGAACTACACAACAAGTTTTTCAGGCGTTGTAGATTTCGGCAACCACGCCGACATATAAAAATTATGGCTGAATCGAGCGCTGAAAACCTGAGACACCTGCAAGACTTGGTGGGGAGTTTTAGCTTCAAAAATACTTCGCCAAAAATTTACAATCGCCGGCGAATGCTGTGCGCCTTGAATTATGCTTCCATATTTTTTTACATTTTCTGTGCCTGAATGAAAATTACAATTAATCGTAGAAAATTTTATTATCCCCTTACTTATGTATGTGTAATATTTTTCAACTTCTAAGTGTTTTCGATTCTAAGTTTCATAAGCATAATTGGAATGTCTATTTTATAAGTGCAGTCCTGCAGAGAGATTTGTAAGTAAAGTTATTTATAAAAATATATATCTGTAAGAACTTTGTTCTTTTCAACCGCCTGCCTGCTGCTTGGGTTATACTCTGTTTGTAAGTGTAAATAGATACTCTTTTTTTTTATCAGCCCCTAACGGACATCCCTGTAGCGGTGTCTATATGTGCGAAGGAAATACTGTTGCTTTGCAAGTAGTTTTCGAAAACCTCGTTGCGGTTCTTTGTTAGATAATAGCGAACTAGTTGGCGATTATTTCACTTGCATCTAACGCCATTCAAAGTAATTTTCCCCCAATTTTATTCTGCAGCTACTAGCTAGTTTGTGTTCGGCCCTAGCGCAGTTCGCTGTTCAATTTCTGGGCATTGGTCCAAGTCGAAACCAATCGATCAGTTCTTTACGTAAATCATATTTACTCAGATCGATTTGAAAGCCGCCCAGTAATTCGTTCTCCTGTAATGTATCATGTGACCATACAGTGACATGCAATAAACGATTTTGTATATGTTCCAATGGCATGCGATACTCGAGCTAGAGGGAGGGGAGAGAAAGAAGAGATTACCACATATATATGTAAATTAAAAAATTGGCTAGCTTCTTACCGTCTCCATAAAGCTGGGCACACACGTTTTTCGTACCACTTTTGTTTTGCGTTTGGTCACTTTTGTTGTATCCGGCTTGAGATAACATTTGACGTAGGTGTTAGGCTCTTGACCCCCTTGCAGCATGGGTAAGCCTTTCGCATGGTGAATCTGGCAAAGAATGTGTGATAGTTTAATAAATCGGATCTTTATTTGTTGTTCACTTAAAAGGCCTTTACTAAAAATACGCAGCAATGCAAACAACTATGAATCTATGCATAGAGGAAAAAATTTTGAAAGTCCCGATTACCTCCAAACTTTTACTGAACTGTCAAAATTTTTATATAAAATAGTTTGGAGATTAAAATTTTTCTTTTTTTTCGAGTTCAAAGCAATCACGTTAATATGTTCATATGTATATTCTGTTATTTACTTACCATCACCGTTAAGACACCGCGGCGATATTGCAAAGACATTTTAATCTGACCAACTTCATAGGGATTTTCACGCGTTTGTTGCTTTACTTCTGAAAAAAAATATATATTTTTATTTAGTTATGAAAGTCAAAGCAGCTAAATATTTGGAATTAACATTGTTCACGATTATTTTTTAACTAATCCTTAATGTTCGGTGTGCAGAAGTCTATGTAAGTAGGAAAAGCTTCTGAATGTCATTCACCAGGAACTGGCCAGAAGTGATTGTTTAGCGAACGGTGCAAATCGCAGCACACTACGTTCAGAAATTCATATCTACGTATTCTCTGGGTACCGACCAAACACCCGCGTAAGACTTCGCGTGCATTGGGTTTGCGGTCCGCTACGTACTCCGTCGCCGAGTACGGGCGTTCACCCCGGTAGACGAATGTCTAGCCACAATCCGCATCATAGCGAGATTCTTCAACATTTAGCTCATTTTCGGCCATACCCCGATTGAAGAGAAGCACAGGGCATCCAAGGATCTCTTCTATGAGCGTTTGGAGCTTACATACGAGTGCTTCCTCCGACACGATGTCAAAATGGTGCTTCGCAATTTCAATGCCAATGTCGACATTGACGCCACTATCGGAAAATTCATCCCCCGCGACAAAACGTCCGATAACGGACTGCAGCTGATCGCCTTCGCCGGGGCCCAAAACATGGCAGTGTGCAGTACAAGGTTCCATTTTAGACGTACGTACACGCCGAGAGCGCAAAATCGACTCTGACCACTTTCTTGTTGCAGCCGAGATACGCACCCGCCCCTGTGCACAAAAAATATGCACCCAACAATGCAAGGAAAGCTTAACGTCGAAAAGCTGCAATCACAAGAGACCGCCAATGCATTCGCCACTCGACTCTCACACCTGCTACCTATTAAATGCCAGGAGCACTGAAAATAGTGGAGAAGACCGCTTAGGCGGTTGCGGCGCCAAATAAGAAGAAGGAAGATAATTTAGTACTAAATTCTCTACGACGGATGTTCAAATTTTTTGGATCATTCTCAACAAAGTGTCCGGTATTTTATGGTATATATATCCAAGCAAAATATGAAAGTATTGCTTATGTGCATCTATAAAAGAATAATTTCCCTCTTCTTTTAATGCCGAATTTGCACTATTAAGAAAAATATATGTATGTGGAAACGAATTTAATGACAATTTTTCTTAACGCAGCGGTACAAGTATCTTTTAATACCCGAACTTGTCATTAAAATTTGTGTCATTTAATACCTAGTGAAAATCCAACATAAGCTATTTAATTTAAATAGTTAATTTATTTATGATAACTCGCACTGTAATGTATGGCCAGGTGTAACTTAGAACCAGGGATGTTGCGAATATTTGCATTCATATTCTTTATGCGAATGATTCGCATCATTTTACACATTCGCATTCCCATCAAATGGTACGAATGTTTTGCAAATGCGAATTTAGTTGAAATGGCTTTAAGTCTGTCTAACCGGGGTGCGGACAATAACCGGCTTTTAGCTTCAGGCGCTAAACGGTTAAGTAGTATATCAAGTAAGTATTGCTAAAAGTCTTATTAGCAACCTAGAAATAATTTGAGATTCCTCCAGCGAAAGCGAAGGCTCGGATGTAGAATCTGGAGACAATAAAAAATGTGAAATTAAAGCTTAAAGGCATATCTTAAAGAAAAACGAGCTCATCTCGGCGAAAATCCTCTCGATTGGTGGAAAACTAAACTAAAATACGACAAATTGACAGATCTGGGCCGCAAATATTTGAGCGCTCCATCCGCCAGCGTTCCAATTGAGCAATTGTTCAGTGCAGTCGGCCTTATATACGAGCCTCTAAGAAATCGCCTCATGGGAGAAAAGGCAGCAAAATTACGTTTTTTTTTGAAATATAATATGCCCCTTTTGAACTTTGACTACCAGATTTAAACATTGTATAGATTAAGCACTCGTTCAATGTTCTAATAATTTACAAAAATTTTAAGTTATAAAAACGATAACTTAAGTTTATTATAGCTCTTTTAATGTTAGTCCTAACATTCGCATTCGCATTCGCGAATGTGAAAAATATGACATTCGAAACATTCCTACTTAGAACAAAAAAAAAACGCTTTATAAGTTGAACTAGCTAGCTGTAATCGTGACTAAGTAACAATCTAACTTTATATTCATGTATGCACATACATACATATGTAGTAGTTTTTTTGTTTTGTTTTTAACGTGTTTTCCTCTTATCAAAAGCGGTACTTACCTCTAACTTTCGACACCGTCAACTTAGCTTCCTGCTGATCACGCAACAAGGGATGGAAGAACGTATACACCAAATCCGAGTGAGCAATCTCATCCGCTGAATTGAAGAGTGAGATAAGAAAACGTTGTATTTGAGGCAGGCGACGCTCAGCAACCGATTTGACGTTGGAACGGCCGACATGCATGCCACTTGGCAAGCTGGAAGAGAGGGAGAATAGAATATAGTATAAAGGGAGTATATAAACACCATCTAAAAAGCAAAATACAAGACGATTAGTGAACTGAAAGTAAACACGCAAGAAAAGACATAAGCAAGATATTAAAAACAAAAAAAAAAAAAACAATTGCAAAGGCAATTAAAACGTAGGTACTGTGCAAATAAAGCCGATAAGAGCTGAGGCCAAAAAATATTCAATCAATCACAGTGTACCACGAAAGATACACAAAATATGAGAGAGAGAGAGAGAGAGAGAGAGAGAGAGATAGAGAGTTAACGTGGCTATCAGTAGAGATTCAGCCTTTCAGGTGGAGTTGATAAGCTGAGATGCAGGTGTGGAACCAGTAGGGTGCGCGATAGTGACGCTATGCTGTTGATATGCTGAAGACTTTTGTGGCGGCTAGAGTTCGTGGTAATATACGCATACGTGTGGGCCATAGCCGTTCAAATTGGCTAAAAGGCGACGCTAATTTGTGAAATGAAATCACTTTCGGAGCACTACAAAAAAAAAATAATAATAATAAAAAAGTAAAAGCAATGTCAGCATTTGAGAGTGGTGTATGAACACAAAGAAACCGTAGCAAAAGGAGCCAAAGAATGGAGCGAAAAAATAATAAAAGCAACCGCAAATGTTTTATTAATAAATGCCGCTGAGGTAAAAGTAAAAACAATTGACAATGAGACGTTGTCATTGCTGTCGCTGTTGCTGTTGTTGTTGTTGTTGCCGCACAGCAGTTAACAGCCAAGCAGCCAGTCAACCCACTTCAACGCTTTTGTCATTCGATTTGATAAACGCGTGCAATGCAGACACGACCAACGGCGGTAGTTAGCGCAAAAGTATTATAGGAAATATAGCACAAAAGCAAAATTTTTAATAGAAACAAAAGCAAACAAAAAATATTAAACAAGAAGAAGCACTTATTTCACGGCAACGAACAAGTTATAATTGATTTTTTAGATACCGCGACGCGGCAGAAAAAGTGGAAAAAAGTGATAAGCAGCAACACGGCAGTGCATATCAGTCTATTTATGAACTGATATACTCTTCATAAATGTGATACAAAAAATAATTGAAACAAAAATTTTAATACATTCGCAAAAAAGTTTTCGAAATACAAAAAGCAGTGTTCAAAAATGCGCTAAACATAAATAACATCAAAAAAAATTGAAATAAGCAAAATACCAAAATAAGAAAAATATATATATTAAATTTATCACAAGAATTATGGCTAAATTAAACAGCTTAGAGGCGGTTGTCGTGGGCAGCAACGGCACAGGTAGGCTAAAATTCAAGTAAACGCTAATCTACGCACAAATAAAAAAACAATATCGAACGCAACTAATTTTAATTACTCTCTTCGATTTACCCCACTGCGACTCATAAACGCACACTCACACACACACACACACACACATCCACACGCATGCGACACAGTTGATGGACTCTTTGCCATGCTGGCATCTTTTGGTGTGCTGATTTGCATGGTCTCAACGTTGATGGGCATCAAGATTTGGTGGTTCAAACACCGGCTAACATTCAATCACAGTTCGACAAATAATGGTGCGGCAGGTGGTGCACCGCCTACAGTGCCATTGCGTACGCGTAGCAGTCGAGAGAAGCGCATGTCGCAACAGGTAATGAACGAAACGGTGAAATAGTGTAGGGCGTAATAGCTGCAGAAGTGCAAAGTATGCAATCCCAGGCAGCAAAATAAGCAAAATGACACCTTTTAGGAGCCTCGTTTTCTGGTCATTTAAATCGATAGGCCAGAGTCAAAGCCTTCTGGTGCAGCTTCTTTTAGAAGAGGAACATTTACACGAAATAATATAAAGCAGTTGAATTCCGTTATTTTAGAAACACACCTCATCTGTATTCCAAAGACAGGACTAAGTTGTTACAGCTTGTAAAGAAAAATTGTATTTAAAAAAAAGTATTTAGGCCGATAGCCTTAGTAGCTAGTGCCTTTTTTGTAATATAATTATTTATAGTTACATAGTCCTTACGGTGATTTTAAATAAACGCAGTGTTTTCTCGCATCAAAAAATAACAAGAAAATCTTTGTACTATTTCATAACAAATTTTTTATTAGAAAAACTTTAGCAAAAATCATTTTCAATGGCCCACTTTAACTAATAAGCACTTATTACCCGGCCCACCACATTTATTTACAATTACAAAGAGGCCATACCCTAAATAAATTTCATGCCGATAACCGACATCGATAAAACATAAGCAATAGTTATAAAAAATAATCAAATATTCACAAAATAAAAGGCAAACAAAAAGCTATGTAAAGTAACAATGTCAATGTACGCATAAAGGTGTTTATTAATGCTATTGTTTTTTCAGTGGTATGACGCATGCTTTTATGCGTCCATCCTCACATGGCTAGGCTAAGCCTACCGCTGCTTGGTGCCTGTCGCTTTGCAGATAATGAAATGCAACTAAGACCAAAACAGATTTTTCTACGAGTTTTCTTTTCTTTTTTTTCTAGTTGTTGCTAAATATTTATGGTTTTATTTATATTTATTTTATAAGTAAACTGCAACACGCTACCATACTAAATGATCTTCGCACTCTACCGAGAAATTAGAGCGTCGCACTTTTGTTTTCATATCATAGCAAGCATGCATATGGATAGGGGCTATCAGAAATACATACAAATGTACATACAAAGCTTGTTAGATGTAAAAAGTAAGAATAAACCTATGCACGTATTTATGCACATGCACATTAGACCGTACCACCTTACAAGCAAACAAAAAAAGTTGGTCGTACACCCGGAGTCTAAAAAATTTTTGCAAGGCAATTTCGAAAGGAAACAATTTTTCTACCGAACCTAGGTGACGCATACATTCGGCACTGAATTTTTTTAAATAGTTCTACTGAATTAATCAAAATATTTTCTTAGCAAAAGTTTACTTAGTTTTGTAGAGTTAAATTTATGGATAGGATGATAAGAACGGTGATCTCTGCTAGGTAAGTACTAGAACAGGATACTCAGGGTCAATGAACTTTTGGAACAAAAAAATTTACGAACAAGTAATTTTTAAGCAAAAAAAAAACAACCGACTTTATTGTTCATATAAACATTTTGGAGTACCCTTGAGTTAGGAATGTTCGATATTTAAGAAAGTATCGATATCATGAATCGATTTAATTCATTGCATGTAAAATCGATATGGCGATATATCGGGCTGAACAATATCGATATCGGAAAAATCGATGTTGAAAATCCTACTCCCAATTGAATAGAATATTAGACCTGCCTATCAACTCATCTAATTGTGTTATTTCCATCTTGTATATTTACTGAGGATTAAAACGGCACGCCGGTCGACTCAAGCGGTTTGTCAAACTTAAGAGCTAAATAAATCACACAAGTGGCTGATTCCCATACACTTTTTTGTAGATGAAAAATAAATTTCAACTTAGATATCGATATTGCGGGGAAAGTATCGATGTCTTCGATTATCGTGCCATGAAATATCGATGTTCAGAATAATCGATACGATATCGAACATTCCTACCTTGAGGTACCACTTCTCCGAAAACAAAAACTTATCGAAAATGGTTTATGTGATCCAAAGTTATCCGGTAACATACACAAATATATATTCCAACGAATTGATAACCTCCCACTTTTTTTTGAAGTCGATTAATAACAATAGGCGATCCCTACGTTCGAAAAAAAATGCCTCCGAATCGAAATACTTCCTTAGCAAAAGATTAATGACTTTTGAGATGTGGTGGATAAGTACTAGAACGGGGTACTTGAGGCCAATGAAAAATTGTCTTCTCGAGATTAGAACGTCAATATATCATACTTAAAGATCGGACTGTAAAAGGGTGACCCCTACGTTCGGCGAAAAAAAAATCTGGTACGTTCTAATGTACATACATATGTATGTATGCATCATTTAGACTCTCACAACGGTCGGTCCTTTTTTGCACTATCTTAGAAAAAAAAGAAAATCTGCCTATTTTGTTGATTGGTTTTGCTTATCAGTTGCAGCGGCGCTTGACAAACATTTCACGATTGTTTTTTTTTTGTAATTTTTGGTAAACAATTTTGCTTGATTTTCACAATATTTTATTCGCAATTTATTATTTTTCATTTATTCAGTTAATTTGTATACGTATTTGGATTTTTATTACTTAGATAAGCGAACCTGTTGAGGTACATGGCGTTTTTCGTCGACGAGAAGAAGATGACTTAAACATTGTACCAACAAAACAATTGCCGCGTGAGTATTTTTAAAACTCTTTTAAGGAGTAGTTCTCCAGCACTATTAATCATTTACTTATATTTTATATTTAATTAAATCCAACTTTGTTTAATTCATTTTTTTTTTGCGAGAAAGAGGGGTTAATGCATTGTCAAAGGTGTCTTCACATATCACTGCCTTGTCCGAAGGCCAAAACACGACCAGCGGTTGGGAACCGTCACCCACCCTGGCGCCACTTTTCGCTTCCTAAAATACCCATAAATGGTTAGAGAGTACATTAGGTAACAATTTACTTCGCTTAGCTTTCGAGCTTCCAGATTTAGTATAAGTTTGGCGATCAATCTGCTACGCGTTTCCCTGTCCCACTGTTGTTGCCTGCCACCCTGTTGGAGTATGTTGCTTTATTTCCTTTTCTGCCTGAGCAGTGTCTCCACCTTCTTTGCCCCGTTTAAGGATCGAAATCATTTTCCTTACTTGAGCTACCAACTCTATGTGAGTGCCGGGGCTCATTAGATTCACTGGTATTTCCTATTCCTCGATGTTTAGAGTTCGTTTGGCTCTTTCTAAGACCTCGTTTAATTTAACTTAAATGCTTTAAGTGATTTCATTCAATTCAGTTTAATTTAATCTACCTCTATATTTTCCACTACATCTATTCTGCTATTTTACTTCTTATTCTCATTTTTGTTCTCTTCTTCCCAGCCGTTCGCATACGGAAGCTGTCTCAAAGTACACCCTCACTCTTCCCGCTGCCGCCGCCACGCCGACAAGATAAAGTGCGCAGCGCCATCTATGAAGAATATGAGCCGCCCGCACGTGAACCACCACGCCCGCCAGTGGACTCACTACAATCCCTGACGGACTCTCCCCAAACACGCACACCAACTATTAGTCTGGTTGAGGAAATGCCTACCTTCGATGAACTCAAACAGAAATATCGGCAAATGGAGTTGAAGGAGGAAAAGGCGAACGAGTTGAGCGCCGAGTCAACCGAGAGTACTCTCCGCATGCGTAAGTCATCACCACAGCCGCCGAAACGACTAAATCGCAACTCATATAGCGAAGAGAAACTAGTGGGCATGCACAAGTTCATGAAAGCCAAATCGCCTTCTACAGAGTCGGCGCCGTACCAGCCAAAAGTTAACGAACGTCGTGCTACGGGCTTTCTACGGCCTGATGAGGAACATATAGAAGCCATGGTATTGACAGGCTCTGACAGATCGCCCGTACGCGAAGTAGAAGCAACGCACTCCACAAGCGTGGAGGAGTTCGGTGAACGTCGGCCAACAGGCTACATTAAGTACGAGGAAATCGATGTGGATGGCTTGGCAGACTTCCGCGAAAAATGGGAACAGCCGAAAGCAAGCTTGAATACGGTAAGTCCAACACCGTACCAGCATAGTGAACGCGTAGACTATGACGCCTACCACGGACACAACTATGATCATATGAATAGAGCGAGCGCACGCGAGTTGCGTATGATTGCTGATGATGTGCCGGCCTCTTACGCAAATGATAGTCACAAGCTGGAAAGCGGAGAGCGTTTAGGCTGGCAGGCAGATGATCGAGCGGCGGGCAAACATGGCACACCAATGTCGCTAGAGAGCATCGACTTCACCAGCGACGAAGAGTATGCTGATGAGCTGGGTGGCGTAAAGCGAAATAGGATTTTAAAATCTGCTTCAGTGCCTAACTGCAGTATTAGTGACTACGAAGCTGAAGATAATGTAAAACCACAGAGGTTGGATGATAGCTCGTTGCCCGTATGTGTAGACACATTTACGAGCCCACTGCACGAGGAAGAAGTAGCGAGCTGCGATGCAGTTAAAGAGGAAGTTGCACTCAACATTCAACAACCGACCGCCCCTGCGCACGTAACTCGGTCCGAGCAGCTGTGGGACGAGTTGGAGGCTAATATAAAGCAAGACGAGCGTGAAAAGTGTGTATGGCTCGAAATTGAAAAAGAGCTAGATTTTAATCGTGATTTCGTGAGCAACATTGAAGAGGAATTTGACAAGATACGGCACTCGTACGAGGAAAATGAGGCCGCCTTCCTTGAGAATACAGGTGGTTTGAAACGTGTGCACGAGCAGGTGGTAATAGCGTCACCCGAACCAGAGGGCTTTGGCAAAAGCATCGATGAAGACTGGGAGAGCTTTGAAAACTTGGCTGTACAAAAGCCTAAAACGACAATAATCGCAGACAAACACGTTGTGCAATATAATTTCGCTGACTTGGAGGATGCATACGACAGTGACGGAGAGTCAGTGCTGCGCACAGAACGTCGGCCTGCTGGCTATAAGCGCCATAGCGCGCAACTTAAACGCGAGCTCTCCAATATAGAAGATGAAGATGAACCCACATCGTCGCACTACAACTACAATGTGAGTAGCGTTGAATTTGTGGAACAAGACCATGTAATGATTGTGACACCATCGCAAGAGGAGGATCGTCCTATTGGCTATGCGCATAAAGAAATATCCGATTTAGACGATGATTACGTGCGTGAACACAGCAAAGATAGCATTTTCGAGCCTGTTGCAGAACCGCTTACAGTGATAACAAAGGCACGTGCGCGACCTAGGCCGCGTCAGAGGGTTACATTTGATTTCAGCAGTACAGAATACTACCAAGCGTCCAACGATGAGGAGGATGAAGATGAGGATGAGAACCAGAATGAGCCGCAGGCAGTAACACGCCTCTTATCAACGACAAAATCCGCATCATATGATAACGACTCAGTGGAGGAAGATGCTGCGCAACAGGCTGTGCCCAAACCAATGCAACGCACCACCAAAACCTGTTACGTAGCCGAGAAGCAAAAGCAGGACGGCGGCAGTGCAGAAAATCAAACACACCTTACGCTATCACCCACAAGCTCACCTGCGCCAGCGTCACTGATTTTCGACACACCAATTTCGCTGAAAACTGCGGAAACGGAATTGAGCGAGAGTTGGACAGCGATAAGCCAACTCCAGATGACACCGACAGCGTCGGGTACAACGAGAGCCACGTTGCCAGCACTTTTAAATGTTAGCGAGCAACCCAAACCGTTCTATCGTAGTAACCTCGCCCAAACGTCTTCGGTTACGAGCGTTGTTTTCATGGAGGACAGCATCATAACGCAGCATCAACAGCAGCCAATGAGTAGTTTTAAGCCACAAGTTGCTATGCGACAACATTACTTTGAGCAGAGTTATCATAATTCAACAGAGGCTTAAGAGAGAGTGAGAACAGAGATTAAGAGGGAAATTGTGGGAAGCAATCAGGAGGAATCGAAACCCAACTGCAGGCTTACCTAAGTCGGAAAAGTATTAATGAGAGTAGAACCAAAGTTAGGTGTTATATAAAATGTGCCAAAAATAAATACTTATGCATATCTAAATAAAAGAAATTTTAAATTAAAGAACACCAGAGTGTGAATAGTTTATCTCGGCATTCGTCATTTAAATCTTTTATTAAAAATGTGTCGTTGACATTCTTTTAAGGAGGGTTAGATTTATTTGTCTATGTCCAAAACATAAACAGATGAACGGAATCAAAAAAAAATTTTGAACAGTAACTTAAACGAAAAAATGGGACATCTCCAAGCTCATACCCTGCACTGGTACACAAACGTCTCCATAACTCCAGAAGGCATAGCAAGAGGCGCTATGGCTACAGCCTAGCCAGAGAAGCGGCGGCCACAGCCCCAATCGGGGACTAAGCTCTATCCAGCGCTTGGCTCAAATAAAAACTAAGAAAAGCGCAGAAATGAAAGACGCGCCATTGTGTTGCACTCAAACTGTTTCACTGGAGAACTAAATAATCTGGACACGGACCCATTTAAATGAATGCTTGATTTTAGTAAACAGACTACTCACAAGCATTTCATATAATTTTGAGAGCTTATTTAATGTGAGAAATACGTATGACTTTTTTCGGAAATTCGCCTCTTTAGACTGAACAAAAATTAGCTTGGCTATCGCATCGAATATTCTTAGTTACCCTATAAACTGAAAAACCACCGCAGAAATGCGTTTAAGGCTTATGAAAGCATAACTTATGATACTTAGAACCTAAACTTATAGCTCTCTATGACTTAAATAAGAACTGAATAATAAACTGACGGTCGATACCAAAGTACTACATTTTCTCTCTACAATGGATTAATTAAGGGCAGTTACGAAACCTCAACTGTGATATCAGCTAGCGACACTAGAGTGCAAATAATTGGAAATACTACTATTATCGGCAGGTAATGTAAGGTTGTCCATTATAGGATTTGGATATATTAAATGCAAGCAAGGAGCGGGAACAGTAAAAAATCTATTCCTCCCTCACAATTTAAACTGTCGCGCCAAAAATTTAGTTTCTAGTCGCCATTCGTAATATCTTTGCAGACACTGGAAACACAACAGAGGCTCCGTAATTGCCTCACGACACTTCAAATCTTTTACCACTTACCTATGCAATTTCGCCAGTGGAAAGTGTAAGCACAACTTCTGATGAAATTCCGTAAATTCCTTATACGAGCGGAATAAATGCGTTGGATCGGTTTGACCATGACGCGTCACTTGTAAAATGTAGGTGTAATACTTTTCCATATCGTAATGCTTCTGACAGCGCACTACCATAACGCTCTTTAAGCGGCCATCCTGTTGCATGCTGTAATGTGAGAAAACGATTGAAAAAAAAAAAATACTTTTAGCAAACGCCTTGAAGGCCAAATTTTCGAATAGTTCCACACTTACGTATATTTGCGCGGCACAAATGACAACAACTCGCCACTACCCTCATCGTTGCTGAAACGCATTTGCGCCAAATTGTGCAAGAAGAAATTGAATTGTGTGAACCAACTCTTCAGCGAGAACTGTATCATCTTGGCAAAAGAGGCAGCTGCCTCTGGATTTGATTGCTCCGGCAGCAAAGCGACACGCACATAAGTCACTGCATCAGCGGTTACACCGGGTATGCCGGCAGTGGCCATTAGTGCAAGCATATGCAGAATGAGATCACCATGTTTGCGTATTATATTAAAAGCGCGACAACACAAATCGACGAAATAATGAAAATCAGTGGAGGGTTTATCGCCGCCATTAATCACATAAGCCATGTCGGAGGTGAGCACGAATGGGGTGCGATCTCTGTGAGTTAGGGTGTGAAAAGAGTGATTAGAATGCAGAGAATATAAGCGTAATAATATTGTTACCTTTTAAAATTGCCAAACATTTGCGCGTCGCCCAAGAATTTTCCAAAATCTATATGAAAGAGATGACCGGAAGTCTTTAGCATAATATTGTCATTGTGACGATCACAGATACCGAGTATGTAAGTCGCAACACTGTAGCCGGCGCAGGAAACTATGAGAGTTAAAAAACACGAATTATACGGAATTTCGAGTTTTCGAAGAACGGAAGTTTGTAAGGCACATTTTTCTGCTTTACAAACTGCATTCCTTTCAACCATTTCATTCGTATACACACCTGTGAAATTCTTTACCGCCCTCTGATACTCCAACTGACTAGGATTCTGTTTGGCTAGCCATTCAGCAATCGGTCTATCTTTAAACGAACCCGTCAAGCCATATTCTACTTGTATTTTACGCAATGTCTCCGCATCGGACACCAATTCAATCATGCCCTTCTTAAAGCCCGTAGGTACACAATTGAAGGTAACCATTTTCAGGTCCAAACCCTCAGCCAACCACATTTTATTCATAACACGTATGAGTTGAATGGTAAGCATGTCCTGTTGCAAGTCATCACCGGACTGCAAGTGAGAGCAATATGAGTGATTATTAACTTTTTTATTTTGTGATCCGCACTAACCTTAAAAATCGCCGGCAGCACTTCGCCATCTGAGCCGATGTAGGATATTTTTAGTGGCAGCGTATTTGAGTTAAAATAACTGCAACTGCGCACATTTACACCGGTCACTTCTAATTCGGGGCCCAGCGGCAGAGAAGTGGGCTTGTCACCCAACTGCTGATGTACAGTTTCCATGCCGAAGCAGAGGGTTTTCTGCCGCAATGATTCTTTAGCCTCCTTTACGGATTCGGCAAGCCGCGCTAAGCTCTGTGGACAAGAATTAATTTAAGTTCAATATGTCTAGGTTCAGACAGAGAAACTTTTGTCGCGGCAACTCGTTACTTGTGGGAGAGGGAGTGACGAGGAAGGGGGAAGGGCACCGAGTTGCTCATGCTCGGGCAACACGCTTTGTGCTCTCGTTCGTCTGAGTAATTCTAGTTGGCCATTCAAAGCTGACAACAACAATTGTGTACAAAAGAATTGCTCTGTGTGAACGCGAAGAGCAACACTAAAAAAGAAATTGCCGAAAATGAGCAACAAAAGTTTCTTTGTGTGAACCCAGTCTATATAAATCTTTGTCTCTGTGCCTCTCTTTCTCTTTTTTTCTGTCTCTCCCTCTCCTTCTCTCTCCCTCTCTTTCTATCTATTTCTCTTCATCTTTCTGTCACTTTTTACCCATTTTTCCCCTTTCTTTTCCCATCTCCTTTTCTTTTTTCTCTCTTTACTCTGACCTCTCTCTTTCCCACAGTATAGCATTATCACTTCTTTTTTATCGTCCACTTCACTCTGCCATTATCTTTTCATTCCTCTTCTTTATCTCTCTCTCTCTTTATCTCTCTGACCTCTCTATTTATCTTTCTGCTCCTCTCCCTGTACCTTTCTCTTTTTCTGTTACTATAACTCAACCTCCGGGCCCATCTTTCTCTTCCATTCTCTTTCAACATATCTCGCTTTGGTCTAACTCGATCTTCCCTGTGCTCTTACCTTGCACATCATATTTTGACTGAGAAAGCGCGCCAACAGCCGCTCGCCACACACCGCCAGCAGCGCGCGAAGCATCATCTTGTTGCGCCTATAGTAGCGCGCCTGCGTTATTAGCGACTCATCAATTTCACTCGCCACCGATGAGGCATCGATTGAATTCTGTGGATCATCGCCTGGCAAACTGTGTACCAAGAGCCAGTACAAGTGGTGGGCTATGCGCGGCGATTCCAAACACTTGCAGAGCAAGAAGCGGGCCATTGCCGATGCTTCGTAGGTATCGTGCTTGAGGGCCTGCAGCAATTGCGGCAGATAATCGACCAGCTGATCATTCGGCAGTTGCGAAATCCACTCGACCGCCTTCTCACGCACTTTGGCGTCAGGGTACCGCGGTAGCAGCAATTCCAGCGCTTGCAGTGGCGACAACGGCGCCCACGAATGCAACAATGAATGGAGATCCATGAGGCTGGCATAGTCCCAGCTGTGCGCGGCGTGAAGCACTTTCGGCAATGCATAGGGAAAGCTCTGCAAATACAACCGTTTTTCCCAAAATACTTCGCGTTTATCCTTAGCGCCCGAATAACCCTGCTCGGCAGTGTCTAGCAGTTCCTGCTGCAAATTAGCGTCCAGCGAATTGAAATCGTAACGCGGTGCTGGCGGTGGCTGTTCCAACGGCTCGGGGAATAGTATGCGGCCACCGTAAGGCGGTACTTCTATGCTTAACACCGGGCAGATATCTGGCTGTGGATGACAACCGCGCGCAGGCGCCGGACCTAAGAACTTATCCGTTGTTGGCGGCCACATCGAAAGCAAATAGGAGCCGCAAATCATTTCACGCTTCTGATCAAACAATTGTATGGCGCACCAGCCTAATTCGGTGGCCACCGAGCGACGTTCACCATTCGCATCTGTGTTTTGCTCATTTTCCGTTGTTTGTGTGCCGTAGAGCACAAATATTAGGCGCGATTCTCGTGGCAGCGTACAAATTGGATTCTTTTCGAAAGTCAGCCATGAAGAGAAATTCAAGCGTGGAAAGAGTCCACCACTCATATCATTCGAACACTTAGTGACTATCGGATCGGATACAAAGCGAGTGCCATAGTTGATTTGCACGCCCAGCGAGTAGTCATCGTAGCGCCAAGTTGGTGGCGGCCGATGCAGACAATTGATGCTAACGACAATTGGTTTTAGTACACACGAAACCGGTATGGGTGCTATGAGGCAAGGATAAAAAGAGAATAAGACACACATGTCTGTACAATTAATTTGGTGCATACTCACTGGTCGAATAATCTAGCGATTTCACAGAGAATCCCACTCGGAATACATTTGAGTAGAGTTCAATTAACTCCTGCACGGCATCGCGCAACTGACTACATTTCAGCTTAATCTGATCCAGCTTGGGCCGTGGCACTAAACGCACCTCTGCATAATCGCCACGTTCGCTCACGATCTCCGGATTGGTTTCCGCGCTATGCGCAGCATACTTCACTTGACCCTCCTCGCATATGCGTTTGAGATCGGCGATGCAGGCAGTGATTTCAAGTGTATCTATCGAACCGAGTAGCGCGCAAATAGCCTTAACTGCCTGCACAACGCCCGAGCATGAGAGTATGGATCGTGAATTTGGATCCGCTGACTCTAGTTTATCAATCTCTGTTTCAAGCGTTTCTGTGGGGAGGAAGAAAATTTTGAATTTGTTCAAATTTGTATTTAAAGATATTAAATATTATTCACGTCTTGACCATTCTATCTCTACAAAAAATGGCTTAGACGAATCAGAAAGTATCACTGCTTCTTTTGATTTGAGCTTTGGTGCCAAATCTTGCATTAAATATGTACATACCTATCAGTATCATCATATTATCATAATTGATGGTCGTTGCCATTTCGTTGGGCAAAATATCTTCTGCTCGTAAATCTACATCACGCAGATCATCACACTGCGTACGAGCTATCACTTGCATATTCTCCTCGGATTTAACGCACAAACCCAATTGCACGTCCTGCTCCAGCTTTAGGCTGTTATGCACACATTCCAGCTGACTGAGTTTCGATGTGGGTGATAGCCATTCAGAGACGCCGATGGGCTGGAAAGAGCATACAAAAGATGTTATTTACTTTTTTTTTGCATAATTTAATAGATCATTAGAACGAAAGTCTGACTAAAGATGAAGAAAAATAAGTGAAAGTTAAAATGGCATCGCAGGGAGTTGAGTTGGAGGCCATGCAGCTATGTAGATAATACCCAAAGGCGGAAAGGCCGCTGCTGGAATAATCAGAGTGCATAGTCGTGCAAACTTTCACATCCCTTTTACCCACCCCGCCTCTCTACGAACGGTAAATTTCCAAGGAAATACTAGAATCGACGCGATATCGACTAATCAGTTTAGTTGGATTTGGCGCCGAACCCATTAAAGGAAGTGCTTCTTTTTCAACAGTTATCAATTCTTTAAGTGTCATGGAATGTTGAGGTAATTATTTGGTATTTTCCTCTTTTTTTATTAAACAATTTACTTGCAAATTTAGATGCTAAAAATTATTACGAAAATTTAATGTTTCCGCCCACAATGGTGGAGGGCGTGGCAATTATCCCATCTCTAACAAATTTCAAAATTACCTTGTCCTAAGAAAACTTAGAGTACAAGTTTCAGCGAAATAGGTCCACGTTAACTATTGTCTCCACCTGCCTTCATATAGTCAAAACACAGTGCGCTGTGACAAAGCTGTTTAAGCATCCGCATTCATACTCAGTCCAAGCAAGCCAATGGCACAAAAGGTTGGACGCTGCAGTTTTAAAATTTAGCGATTCGACGTTTGACTCGCCCCTTCAGCCTTAAAATTTAGCCGAATGTAGTAGATGTTAAGGAACATTTTGAGTTTTTTTCTGCGTGTGTTTCAAAACTATGGAGCTCATTTCGTTGAATAGGCATTATTTTGGCTCCAACGAAATCAAAATGCTTTTCTACCTTCATTTCTGTCTTAATGAGACCGATGACTTTGTCGGTTAGAATCTATTGGAGCTTATGATAGTAGTAGTAGATTTACTAGTCGTATGAAGAGCTTCTAATGTCTGCCTAATTAACTATAGCACCCAATTATCAAAACAAGCCTTTTCCGATATTTCATTTGTGCATATATAGGGCCTATCTATATTAATGTAATGATATGTAGGTGTGATTTATCTATTTTCCGCGCTTACCTTCACCACATAATCATTAGGAGTGCCTTTAATAATACCCTCCAGCGAGCAAAATGCTTGATCAATAACCAATTCCACAGCCGTATTGACTGAAAGAAAAACGTGCAAACATATTTTAGGGTAATCGCCGCAATAAAACAATAACAAGTAAACTTACTATCACATGTAAACACCACCGGCACGCCATACCCCTTCACCTGCCCTTGTGTACGCGCCATATCCGCATGGGACAGCAGTGCCTTCAGCGCAGGATGCACCAAAATCTTGATGCTCGTCTCAAGCGGATAATGATAATTAAATTCCGAAGCAATTACATGACCTGGATTCGTATACGTATCATTGTATAAATAGCGCATACGCAACTCCTTAACCATGAAGAAGAATTCCAGTAGCTCCGGATCGACGGTGCGGCGATCCGTTACCACTTCATAGAGGCGCGTTCCGGCAGCAGTTTTTCGACGATCCAGCGTTGCGCTGGGCCGTATGAATGAGCTGGAAGTGGAGAAGGAACTGCCAGCCACCGCGCCCACGCTCACACTACTGCTGCCTTCCACACTATTTTCATGTTTCAGTGTTGGATAGAGACCAGGTAGAAAGGGTGGGGAGCGCGAGCCAGTATTGCGTGGCGGCAGCGGTGGAGGCGGTGAGCGTGAACCGCTTGGTGATTGATCATCGAGCTGATAGTGCGTTGAGGCGTTAGCGCTGCTAATAGCAGTTAGATCGGTGGCGAGTACTTCATCGTGGCTGAGGTAATCCGTGCGCCAACCAATGGAGGAGACTATAGGAAGAGAAGGGGAACGATTTTTTGAGCTTAACAGAGTACTCCTAATAATTTACTCTTTACTTCACTTACCATTTGGACTCACAGCGCTCTTCTCCAACTTATTCACCGCCTCGTAAACGGGATCCGAGTACTGTGTGCCACCGCCACTATAGAGATAATCGAATGGGTCATATTCCGCATAATAGGAGGTACAATCTGAGGCATCGTCGCAACCTGTAACCAGTGAATGCATCATTATATTTTCGCACAATATATACACTTAAACTTGTTAAACGAGTACGGGCAATTTTCACTTTCGCAGCTGCGAGAAAAAAATCAAAACTGCCGCAAATCACATTGGCGCAAATTAATTATAAAAAAAAGAGCCGCCGAACAACAGTTTAACAAATCATATTAGACGTTTTGTTTTTGTTTTTGTAATGACGAAAAACCAGCTGAACGCTATAAAAACAAATATTTCAAATATAAAATTGCTTTGCGCTTGGCCGGGAGACAACAACGACAAAGAAGCTGACTGGCGATCATCGCAACGCCAGCGAACGGGCAAAGACGCACGAGAACAATGAAAAAAATATATATATAGGTATAATTTAATAATAGAGTGTAGTAGAAACTGCAAGCAAAACGTGTCGAATACGCTGCGCCGATAAACAAAATATTTCACGCGGTTTACAACGCTGTCGCCGCTGACACGCTGACACAATTCTACATTTACCAAAAATTACAACCACACAACAGCAGCAGAACATTTTTACATTTCAGCTAAGCACAATTATTCGATCATAACTCGCGGACTGCGTTCAAAATCCGCAACGAAATGTGTGAAGCGGCAGGAATTTCAACCAAACGATGCTTTGAAGAGACTTAACGAGAGCAGTGGAAGTGGTGTTAAGTAAGTGGTTTCGAAGAGAAGTTAAATAAATACTAATAAATGAATGTTTCAAATACTTTTAAGATATACGAAAATTCGATCACTGATTTCGGATAGCTGCGAACGTAGCGTATATTTTGAATGCGTCCCCTCGTAGCGATTCGGATGCAGTGCAGTGTACGACGGATTCGGTGATAGCCCCGAATATGTCTCTATGGAGGCAACTACTACAGACATGCTTTCCATTTTGCTTTGTATTGCAAGGCTGACATTATTACGGTAATTTAGATATTCCTTAAAGGCAAAGTTGAGATTTAACTGTACTGTTGAACCTTGAAATTCCCAAAAAAAACTGCAAAATGCTAAACAAAACACAAAATCTGGAAAAATACTGAAAGGTCCAGAAAAAATTCGAAAAACACCGAAAACATCCCAAGCAAATATCGCGTAAATATCTAAAAATCTCGAAAACCACCAAGCCACCGAAATAATCCCGAATAGTCCATTAAAAACCATAAAGGTCTCGAAAAATGCAAACAAAATTCTCTGCAATTGTTGAACCCAAAAATTTCAAAATACAAAATACTGAAAAATGCCAAATAAAACACAAAGTTAGGGAACAAAATTTAAAGATTCAGAAAAAAATTCGAGACCATCGAAAAAATCCCAAGCAAATGCCGTATCAATTTCAAAAAATCTCAAAACCCCCACAGCCACCGAAAAAGTCCCGAATAGTCCATTAAAAACCCACAGAAGTCCTGAAAAATATAAAAAAACAACAAAAAATCCCAGAAAATCTAGATATATTTTTAAAAAGTTTAAAAAAAAAATCGAATCCTAAAATTCGCCCATGTCGAAAAGTCCCAAGACAACCGCAATAAAATTTCTGAGTCTCTTAAACCACGAAAAATAACGAATCATAGAATTTTTTCATCATAAAAATCTTTCTTTATATTCTTTGATAAAAAAGAAATATACTGTGGATCTTCACACTTGCTTGGTTATCTGGTTGACATTTTTTTTTTAGTTATTTTATTGTTGTAAACTTAATAAAAAAATAAATAGTCTTATGTATATAAACCGGACTGATGTGCACCCCACAGGGTTTTTTTATTACTTTAATTTACAATCCCTTATCGTAATTGGGGATTTCGAAATAGAAGGTAGTGCGATCACTTTTTTTTCAATAACCAAGCACAAGCTATTTCAGTATTTCTGAAACATCAAGTCAATTTAAAAATTGTATGATGCTTAATTTCAAAACTAGATACTTTTTTTGAAAACTAAAACGCGAAACAAATACTTTAATTAACACAGACCTCTGCAACAAAATGCACATCAAGATGCCAGAATCGGAAGACGAACGAACCCTAAATATTGGATACTTTTACGAAGTCTACTGCGTTATTTTTCATTGTCACAGAATTGTTGGATGCGAGTCCCTACAAATTTCGGTGCTTTTCAAAAATCTAAACGGAGGACTGTTATGCCCTAAGTCATTTCACACTTTTTGTGCTTAAATGATCATTTACCTGTATCTGATCGTGTCGGCTATTCGTTTGTCTTCATTAACCAAAGGTAAACGGTTTTGTCATTAGTTGATCTTGTTGATTGATTTTTCCGACAGGGTAAAAAGAGGATCGATAGAATGAGGTACAAATCATTTGAGCACACAAGATATAAAATGACTTATGCCACTTTCACAATAAACGACTCTTATATTGAACGAGTTTCTCTAAGAAGTTCGTAATATGGTTTTATTTTATTAAAAAAAAAAAACAGCTGTGATTGGAGCACCCTCTTTACGTTGATAGGCATCCGTATTTGTGTAAAAAAAAAATGGCACACACTTGCCGCCTGTTAATTATAGCATACCAGTGTTAATCGTACATGCGAAGAGAAAGCGAGTTGGTCAGCTGCCCATTTTGTAGACGCATCGGCTAATAGACTATTAAGTGGGCACTAAAATCACTGTCGGTTCTTAAAACATAATGCGCACAATAAGACAAAGCATGACAGCAAGATTTGTGTGGTATTATAGCGCGGCATATATTTAAGAGGTATTGACGCTTGTTTTTATTTAAAGAAAAATAATCTATAAATTAATACGCTAACTGGAAATTTGTAGTCGTTCATTTGGCGATTCTATTGAAGCGAATTCGAAACCAAGAATACCATTGGAAAGCTAAATTTTTTATGCTTTCAAAATTGGTTGAAAATTATGGTCAAAATCGTCGTTTAAAAATTCCTGTATTTATGTATAGTTGTTTTTGCAAGCTGTCCAACTTGAGTTGTTTTCGCATTTTGGTTTGCTCCGTATTTTAAATGAGACTGAACAAACAACATTATAAAAAGAGTATCAAAAACAGCAAGAGCTTTTTAAAAAAGTGGCATGAAACTTCGTTGTTTTGGTACTAGCAGTTATAATTTTTATTGAAGGTGTATTTTAATACATCCTACCAAAATTTGTGAAAGTCAGGTTCGAAAAAAGTGCTAGCTAGGGCCTTTGTGAATTAAGGTAACGATGTACACACATACATACATAAGAATTAGAGTAGCTGAAAGAGTAAGAAAATGTTTTGAAATTTTTCGATAAGAATCCAAATATGTGTATCCAATCATTAAAAATCTAGTTATCGAAAGTTATCAATTTATCGAGTCATCGAAGTTTATAGTTATCGATGTTTATTGAGTTATCGGAACTTATCGAGACCCAGAAACTTAGTTTCGAAATTTACCGATAGTTATCGAGCTATAAAAATTTATCGTATTATCGAAATTGGTAAATATAATGAAGTTTATCAAGTTATCGATATTTAGTTTATCGAAGTTTATCCAGTTAACGAAATTGATCGAGTTATCATAACGTATGGAGTTCTTTAAACTTACCAAGGTATCGATATTTATGGATTTATCGAAATATGTTGGTAGTTATCGAAACTTGTTGGTTTATGGAATTGAAATTTTTGGAACTTTCAATGTGTATATGTATAGTATATTGAGCTACCGAATTTTCTATGGCCATATAAGTCTATCGAGTTATCGGAATTTATGATATGAAGACGACTCCGGGAAACGTTTAAAGGACTATGATTTGAGGGCATGTACCTGGAATGTCCGGACCCTTAATGGGAAAGTGTCTGTTGTTGTTGTTGTAACAGCATAAAAACTCTCCAAATAGTCTTTGGGAGTGTTGCTGGAGTGGCAGTCCTTGGGCAGATATAAATCTGGGCCGTTCCGGTTAAGTAGACCCGATTGTCGTCATGCTACCGAAATTATCCTTTGACAAGCTCTACAAGGTCAGAATTACCGAAAGGGACACATAGGGTCCCAAGCATGGTATACCGATGGATCAAAGATGGAATACGGAAGTACTGGGACAGGCGTGCTTGGACCAAGGTTCCAGAAAAGTCTGCCAATGGGTTCATACCCAACCATATTCCAGGCGGGAGTCTTCGCAATCGAAGTCTGTGTTCGGGAATGTCTTGGGAGAAGGGCAAGCGAGGCCAGAATAAATATTACGTCGGATAGTCAGGCAGCACTAAGGGCCTTGGACTCATTTAGAATGACATCAAGGCTTGGGGACCGTTGTAAAACTCTTCTGAACAGCCTAGAAGCCCATAATAGAGTTACGCTGTGGTGGGTCCCTGGGCATGAAGGGTTTGAAGTCAACAAAAGGGATGACTATCTCGCAAAACTTAGAGCCCAAACGTGCATGTATGGTTCCGAGTCTTTCTGTGGTACATCTTGAGGATACACTGCGAAGCTGCTTAGGAGTTGGGAGGAATCTCAGATTGCTGCCCACTGGCGTAAGTCAAAGGGAGTGAGACAATCAAAGAAATTCATAACCTCTTCCTGAAGTAACTTAGAAAGACTCGTTGAACTCAGCCGGGAGGGTCTTATAACTCTTACAGGCTACCTGACAGGACACTGCAAGCTGAAGTACCATCTGAACAATATGGGGAGACAGACTGCAGGTTCTGTGGGCTGGCGGATTAACCCTCAGAGCACATTCTGTGTGATACCTTGGGGAACGATTATCTTTTCCATCCAAGATTTGGAACATGGTTGGAGTGACTACAATTAGGGATCGCAGCACGAGTATAACGTAATAATAATAATCTCTTTTCATGTTGCAGCTAAGATACGCAGCCGCCTCTGTGCATCAAAAAATGTGCGCCTAACAATGCCAGGAAAGCTTAACGTTGAAAACCTGCAATCACATCAGATTGCCACTTTATTCGCCACTCGACCTGCTCTCTGAGAGCACTCTTCAAAAAACCGACATACATGAGCAGTAGAACTACAGTTCCCGCTCATCCGCCGCCGAAGAAGTAGTCAA